TCTCGGAGAACAATCGCAAGGCTTGCATCGAAAAATTCAAATCATTCCCAATGCCGAAGTTGCGTAATGCAGCAGAAGCAGCTGTGTTGGTCCCATTATGTTTATATAAAGGAGAACTCGGATTCTTATATACTCTGCGATCTATGAAACTCACATCCAATCGGGGACAAGTTAGTTGTTTGTATAATATCCATATAAATATTTCAAAGGTTATAAATTTATATAAATAAATTGCCAGTGTCAACTAATAATGTGTAAGTATCAACTAATAATAACATGTAACATCAATATTATAATTTTATGCTCAGGAATATAAATATAATATATAAATATAATATATAACATATTATATATAACAATTATACATTAAGTATGAAATTATAACATAGTTACTATTATTTTTAGTTGGCATTTACTAATTGTATATTCTAAATTTATAAATATTTAGTCTTTGGATTTTATTGATTTTGTATTATTAACCACTTAGCGAGTCTCGAATTAGTCCATATCTCATATTATTTGAATTTATATTCATATATATCAGAGCTTTATATATATATATAATTGTTGAATTATTGAAATTTGCACAATCAAGTATTCGAATTTAATTTTAAAATAATAGAAAACAAATTTCTCAAGGATATCTGTTGTAGGTGTCCTTCCCAGGTGGCATGCGTGACAAGAGTGACGTTGATCTGCAAGAAACTGCTTTGCGAGAGACTTGGGAAGAGTTGAAGATTTCCAGGGAGAAGATCGACGTGTGGACCACAGGGAATCTCATCGGCAAATCTGACGTTAATGTGATGCCGGTTCTAGCTTACATCGGCGAGGTGATGCCGGAAGAACTGGAGATCAATCCTGATGAGGTGGAAGAAGTATTCGTGGTCAGCCTGCAAAAATTGTGCGATCCTAAGCTGATTAGTTTCACGAGTTTCCGCCGACCACTTGTGACCCTACCATGTTACCTAGGTGGAAAATACCGTGTCTGGGGTTTTACCGGTGCTATCACTCACATAGCTCTCGAATGCTTGGTGCCGCAAGTGTACAAATACAAATTCTTATCAATACAATCGATGCAGAAGAATGAATCTGGAGAGAAGGAATTGGTTTCTTCCGATTATAATGCGACGCGCTCGAAAATATGAAGAGTAGAGTAAAATAAAATGCTAAAGTAAGATATATTAAGAACTATTTTAATAAATTCAAATTTCGATACTGATAGATTTCCATACATAATTAGGTAATAATTATGATAAAACTTATTAGTGATATGATGGAAAGAAATGATATTTTTTTACTAAATTGAAAATTGAATACATTAAAATTACGCAGATCTTAAGTGTATAAATTATCAAATAGTCGATCTATCAAAACTTTGTTTGGAATTGAGGAATTACAATTCGTTTCATTCTAATTCCGCAAGTTTGAGTAGTCGGAATAGAATTTAGATATTTTCTACAACATGTTCGTTATAAAATTTGTTTGCAGATTTTGTACATATCTGTGATTTTAATGATTATGGTTATCTAGAAAAAATAAAATATTAATATATTTCTATTTTTAACGATTGATTAAAATATATCGACAAGAAAAAAATATATAATCTTTTTTTCTCTTCTTTTATTTGGTATTTGAATTTTGTTATTTTAATATTAAAATTAAAAATATATATACAATAATATAACCTTTTATTAAATAAAGAATAACTTTTTGTGAAAGATTAAAATAAAATAGCCGCAAGCGATGCTATTTTATTATTTTAATCTTTCACAAAAAGTTATTCTTTATTTAATAAACATTTAATATGTCATCAATGATATTAATCATCAAAAGAAACAATCGTTTTCAAGATTTATACAAATTTTTAGTCCGACACGATATCCAATAGGAGAACTCATTTCCTAGTGATAAATTAAAGTTTCTAGAAGACATAAGTTGTGTTCCAAAATTCATTATCAATATTGAAAATGTATAATATACATACAGACGTAAACTATAGATTTTCAGCGTTGGCAGTGAATTTTGTAACACAGCCAGTATCCGATAGGAAATTTCGTATTACCTCCATCATGATAGGCTGGCTTCAACGGTAATAATCAAATCATGAACTGTACTTTGATTACATAACTACAGTCTCTACAGCCAATAGCGAGAGACAGACGCGCGTCGTTTCCGGCGAAATAAATAGAGGAATGGCCATCAAGAGAGTCTGATGTCTGGTTTTTCTCCGGCTCTCTCCTTCATAATGGCTGTAGTGGTGTGAACAATCGGTCATCTAAGAACAACGAAAAAATCCGGAAGCATCGTTTAGCATCATCACGTTGAAGGCTCGATCGAGGTAAAATAATATTCTTAGCGATCATCCGCTCACATAGCTGCTCTTATTTTTCCGTTAACGGTATATTTTGAGTTAATTTTGAAGTAAAAACGATGATTTGCGTCGTGTCGAATTATTAGATAGAATTTCTCATGTCGTTTCAGAGCATGGACTCTCGGAGACTTTTATCGAGAGCATAAAGCCCTCCATTCATTTATTAATTATTCGAAAAATCAAGGAATAGGAAAAAGCAACGATCTAGCAGGCCAAGATGTATCTATACAATTTGACTCTTCAACGTGCCACGGGCATCACGCACGCGGTGCACGGTAATTTCTCCGGCAGCAAAATGCAGGAGATCCTCGTCTCCCGTGGTAAATCGTTAGAGTTACTACGACCGGATCCAAATACGGGAAAAGTCCATACCCTGTTGACCGTCGAGGTTTTCGGCATTATCCGATCTCTCATGGCGTTCAGACTTACCGGCGGGACGAAGGATTACATTGTCGTCGGATCAGATTCCGGGCGTATAGTAATATTAGAGTATATTTCTGCCAAGAACATCTTTGAGAAAGTACATCAGGAGACTTTTGGCAAAAGCGGATGTAGACGCATTGTTCCTGGCCAATATCTTGCCATTGATCCAAAAGGAAGAGCAGTTATGATAGGTACAGTATGATATATTTTTTCAACAAAAACATATCAAGGAATTTTTCTATTTCTTTATTACACAGAATGGTCATTTATGTCCTGAGTTAATTTTTATCACTTTAACAAATATACAAGAATTAAGAATAAGAATTATTAAGAGATTCTTACAAATATTTTTTAGAACAGAAACTATCTAATTTTAACTTCTGAGCCAAAATGTAAAGCCATCGATACAAAAAGAATTAATGTGAATAAGATTTCAGAAATTGTAAAGTATTGATACATATCTGAGCTTATCAACACTTCGCAGTCTCCAAAATTTTGTTCACAAATCACATTGAATTTTTTTTTGCATCAGTGAGTTTGTGTTTTGGCTCTCGAGTTAAAACTTACAAAATATGACACAATTACATTTTAAAATAATTTAATATTATGAAATTTTTTAAATTGATTCAAAACATTTAAATCCATTTTCTGGAAAACATTGTTTTTTTTTTAGTTATGACATTATGATAACAAATGAACGATATGATTGTTAAGTGCCATATGATTACTTTGTTCGTGTTTCAACTGATTAGCATTGATTACAACTTTTTTTATTAATGATGGTACTTTATGAATAATAAAAATTACAACTTGAAGCAAATCAGTGATGTAACATTTTGGTATTTTTGTTTTAGGTGCTATCGAAAAACAGAAACTTGTGTACATTCTTAACAGAGATGCTGAGGCTCGTCTTACAATCTCTTCTCCATTGGAAGCTCATAAGAGCAACACACTAGTGTATCATACAGTTGGTGTCGATGTTGGTTTCGAAAATCCTATGTTTGCATGTTTAGAGATTGATTACGAGGTAAACTTACATAATTTTTTTATTATATAACAGATATTATCGATATCATATGATTATATACCGTGTTTCAACTGATTAACATTGATTACATCTTTTTATTTATGATGATACTCGGTTAGATTTGCATTTTTCTTATCTGTATATAAATATTTGATACATTTCGTAAAAATGTTTATCCAGGAAGCCGATAGCGACCCTACGGGCGATGCAGCAGTGAAAACGCAACAAACTCTTACACTGTATGAGCTTGATCTTGGTCTGAATCACGTAGTGCGAAAATACAGCGAGCCATTAGAAGAACACGCTAACTTTCTCGTATCTGTACCTGGCGGTAATGACGGCCCAAGTGGTGTGCTCATTTGTTCCGAGAACTATCTTACATACAAAAATCTCGGGGATCAGCATGACATACGTTGTCCGATCCCGCGACGTCGTAATGATTTAGATGATCCCGAGAGAGGAATGATATTCGTGTGTTCGGCTACACATAAAACGAAGAGCATGTTCTTCTTTTTGGCGCAGACGGAGCAGGGTGATATCTTCAAGATTACCCTCGAAACGGACGAAGATATGGTCACTGAGATCAAGCTGAAGTACTTCGATACTGTACCCGTAGCAGCAAGTATGTGCGTCTTGAAAACGGGATTCCTGTTCGTCGCCTCGGAATTCGGAAACCAGTTAGTATTGTAGATTGTACTAATATCCTCGCGCATGCATTTAAATGATTACGAGCAGCGCAATTACATTGTCCTTTTTTAGTTACCTGTATCAAATAGCGCATCTCGGAGACGACGATGATGAGCCCGAATTCAGTTCAGCGATGCCGTTAGAAGAAGGAGACACTTTCTTCTTCGCCCCGCGACCGCTCCGAAATCTAGTATTGGTCGATGAAATGGACAGTCTCTCGCCCATAATGGCTTGCCAGGTGAAATATTTTATAAAGGATGTTTACTATCTAAGAAACCTAGAATTTTCGAAGAATTTTTATTTTAATCTTGAAAATCAAAAATGGCATTTTATTTGTATTCAAAAATATTTTTGGAATTTTTATTTAATTTAAATTCTGTTCTAATTGTTTTTTTTATTTTCTTGATAATAAAAAAATATTGCAATCAGTTATAAATATAAGGTGTCCCGCGAAGATTCTGCCAAACACTTTTTGTAGAGTGGACTAAACTGAGTCGAAAAATCCTATTATTTTGCAATTTTCGCCATTATTGACGAAATATTAATTACTAAAAATTACCGAATATTAATCTTTAATAATTTTTTCGAACTATCAATTTCACAGAAAAATAGCAAGAGATAAAACTTGTTTATTTTCTTCTCATAGAGCTCTAAGAATTTTTTCAAAATTTTTATCAATTTTTAATACAGTATTTTTTTATTGACAACTATTTTTACTAACATGAAAAAATACGATATTAAAAATTCTGAAAAAATTCTCAAAATTTTATGAGAAGAAAATTAGCTATTTTTGTCTTTTGCTGTTTTTCTATAAAATTGATAATATTTGAGTAAAAAATTATTGAAGACAAATATTTGACAACTTTTAGTAATTAATATCTCGTCAACCAGCGTGAAAATTGCAAAATGGTAAAGAACTTTTCGATTCTAATCCGCTCTATGGACTCTACAAAAAGCGTTTGGCAGAAATCTCGCAGGACACTGTATATTTGCGTACATTCACATATATTTTCATGAATGGTTAAAAAAAATGAATTTTAAAAAAATTAGGGTGACGGCAGAACAGTAATTTATTATATTATGTAATTGCTTTTATCATCTTATAGGCTTCGTAGCCCTAATTGCAAAAGGAGAACAGATATACTCTCTGAATCTCTTCTATTAATTTACAGAATACATGCAGTTTACGTTATTTATATTCCATTTTATTTCAAAATTTCATTTTAAAAATCTCACCTGGAAAATCTAGGAATTCTCAAGGATTTTTTTTTGTACAATCTTAATAAACAAATCTTATACAAATTTTATTCGAATATGCACTTAAAGTAAGAAGGAGACATTACTCTTGTGTCTCTTTCTTGTGGGATAATGTGCGATAGCAAAATTCTCTACGTCGCCTTTGGTTTGTTATTGCAAATTGAAGTGAATACTTAGAGAGATAAGCATAATACGATATTTTTTGCTTCCTTATTGCATTTGTGGAGAGGAGACGAGAAGCAGATGTTTATAAGAATTTTTGATCGTGGCGGCTGTAGGTAGCAGATCTGGCGAACGAAGACACGCCGCAATTGTATATCGCTTGTGGACGAGGACCGCGATCCACATTGCGAGTGTTACGCCACGGTCTCGAAGTTTCCGAGATGGCCGTGAGCGAGCTGCCTGGTAATCCAAACGCTGTTTGGACCGTGAAGAGAAGAATCGATGGTTAGTCGAATGATATTTTTACGTATCGAACAATTTGTCTGCATGTTTTCACTTGACTTGCCTACTCGATAATCCGATAAGTTTTAGCTGTCTTTGTTGAGATCTTACTTTCCACATTTCTCATCTATCTTTATTCTTTTCAAAAATTTTCTATACATGCAAAGCGACGAAATATAAAATATTCTACGCAATCAGAAATATCGTAGATTTCTATGATTTTGTTCATTCTCTTTTACGAAAGTGGATCGTAAGTAGCTCAACAGCATAGTTCGAATAAATTTGCGAAAATCTTTGCGGTAAGAACACTAGTACTTAATATAATTTGCAAAAGAAAATTAATAGTTTTGCTTTAAAAAGACGACGGCAATCGGTTTTGTAAAAAGATATTAATTAACCTGGTGGCTTGATACACTCTTATCAAACACCAGTTCTCTCTTTCAGGATGCCAGCGCGCTATTGGTTGACCCACAGAACTCTGAATGACCGAAAGGTAAGGGACCTCGGCGCGAAATTGGCACGAGTAAGAGTCGTTTTGTTCGGTAAAAATTTAATAAAAAGCAAAAGTCGACTCTTTCCGTGCCCCACGAGAGCGTGCGCAGTTTCGAATAATCGAGGACACCTAAATGTTATATATATACGTATATATATATATATATATAATCTTTCTCTGTGCAAATTCAAATATTCGATTCAACGACGCATTCCCCTATGTATTGAGGATGAGCTTTGTAATTTTGATTGCAGAGGAATATGATGCATACATCATAGTCTCCTTCGTGAATGCCACACTCGTACTCAGTATCGGCGAGACTGTCGAGGAAGTGACGGACTCGGGTTTTCTCGGTACAACACCGACCTTGAGTTGCTCCGCCTTAGGCGAGGACGCATTGGTGCAGGTACAATGCACATGGAAATTATATCGTATCATAATCGATGGGCTCTATGCGTGAACCATGTATCCCATATTGTGTTAAGTTTGAGAGTAATGTAAAATTAAAGTAAGTAAATTTTAATTCGATCACTAAAGCATATTTTTAAATTATAAATTGAATCAAATTAAATAACTTTCCTTACAATTGGTGGATTAATTATCTGACAAAAATAATCACATTTTTGTCTGACAAAATAATTGCAAAAAATTCATATTTTTGGGACAGAATGGTATATGCATGGGATTATATAATTTTTCTCGATTGCACTCGGTATCTCCGGCACCTGGTTGACCACGTGCCGGTCGCAAAAAAGTGCTAAAATATTCGGGCTCACGCATCGTTGGAACGTTCCGGATCTAATCCAAACTTTCCTGGTACTACAGGCCCAACAACTATATTACAAAGATTTTTTAATTTTTACAATGATAGAATCTATATTATATTATATTTTATTATTAAATACATGATATATGTGATTACCTGAATTATCTGAAATCTCAAATTTCTTTTAGGTATATCCTGACGGTATACGTCACATCCGAGCGGATAAGCGTGTTAATGAATGGAAGGCACCTGGCAAGAAGACGATCGTAAAATGTGCAGTCAATCAACGTCAAGTTGTGATTGCCCTCACTGGAGGAGAACTAGTCTACTTCGAGATGGATCCTGTACGTATTTAATATAATGATTCTTTCTTAATGTTTTCGCGATTATTCTAATGATCGCATCATTTGTTCTCTCTGAGTTATTTAATTCCTTATTCTCAGAGACGTAAAGATGCGAAGAGCATACCACTCATTTCATCTTGAACGATTTAGTTAAACCTTGTTTAATAATTAGGTTTGATGGAGAGTGAACAAGATATCGTAAAATTTCTCATCAATGGCTTTCTATTAATGCATCCTTTTCAGACCGGACAATTGAACGAATATACGGAAAGAAAAAAGATGCCCTCGGAAGTAATGTGCATGGCCCTCGGAAACGTTGCAGTTGGCGAGCAACGTTCATGGTTCCTTGCTGTCGGTCTGCAGGACAATACAGTGAGGATAATATCGTTGGATCCCTCAGATTGTCTAGCTCCAAGAAGTATGCAGGCGTTACCAGCAGCTGCGGAGAGTTTATGCATCGTGGAAATGGGCGCTAAAGAGGCCGACAATTCCGAGGATGCGGCGCCACAGCAATCCAGTTTGTACCTGAATATAGGTAAATTTTATATGCAATATAGGCAATATACGAATTTACATTTGTATTTTCTGCTCATAGCAAGCTTATGTTTCTAAAAACTAAATAATCGAATTGTCTTTAATGCATGTTGTATGTATTACTGTCGTCATTAATTGCAGGTTTGCAGAATGGTGTGTTGCTTAGAACTGTGTTAGATCCTATTTCCGGAGATCTCGCAGACACGAGAACACGCTACCTAGGTTCTCGACCAGTGAAGCTCTTCAGAATACGAATGCAGGGTAATCAGGCGGTGTTGGCGATGAGCAGCCGGTCCTGGCTGAGTTATTACCACCAGAATCGTTTCCACTTAACGCCCCTGTCATACGAGAGTCTTGAATTCGCGTCGGGCTTCAGTTCTGAGCAATGTCCAGAGGGTATCGTCGCCATATCGACAAATACATTGAGGATCTTGGCGCTCGAAAAACTAGGGGCCGTGTTCAATCAAGTTAGCTTTCCACTGGAGTACACTCCGAGGAAGTTCGCAATTCATACAGATTCTGCACACCTAATAGTCATAGAAACGGAGCACAATGCTTACACGGAGGAGACAAAGCAACAGAGAAGACAGCAGATGGCGGATGAAATGCAAGAGGCGGCTGGCGCCGAGGAGGCGGCTGTCGCTAGAGAATTGGCGGAAGCTTTCATGTCGGAGGAGCCAAACGAGGCGGTTTTCGGTGCCCCGCGAGCTGGCCCGGGATTGTGGGCTTCCATGCTAAGACTAATGGCACCGACCACCGGAGAAACATTCGAAGTGCATCGTTTCGAGCAAAATCTAGCCGCGTTATGGTAAAGAAAAAACAATCTTGATTAAAAGAACAATTTTTATCTATTTCAATCAAAATTGTAGTTGTCCAATGTTATATCTTTTCTTTTCTCCACAGTCTTTGCCTCGTAAAATTTGCCAATCAAGGTGATCAGTTGTTCCTCATCGTTGGAGTCGCGAAGGAATTTCAATTAAATCCTAGAGTTAGCAATGGCGGTTTTCTTTACACATACAAGTAAGATATCTCATTATACAATATTTTCTCTGATACATAATAGGCCTGTTCTTTTTAGCTAAAGTTCTTGCACAGTTCATCTTTTCTTTCCATTGAAGAGAAAAAGAAAAGAAGAATCGTGCAAGAAGTTCAGAATAGGCCAAGAATAAGTCAAGACTACATTGATTTTTATAATATTTTTTAACGAATGTAAAACATTCTCTCGACAAAATAATCAAAAATGATTGCTTTGTATTTCAGAGTAAATCCAGACTGTACCAGTATCGAACTGCTGCACAAATCTCCGTTAGATGAAGTACCGTTAGCCATTTGTCCATATCAAGGCCGAGTATTAGTTGGCGTGGGTAGAATGTTACGGCTTTACGACATGGGTAAAAAGAAATTATTGCGTAAGTGCGAGAACAAACATATACCGAACGCAGTCGTATCCATAAACGCAATCGGCCAACGGATCTACGTCAGCGACGTACAGGAATCTGTATATGCAGTGAGGTACAAGCGCCAGGAGAATCAGTTAATTGTTTTCGCGGACGACACACATCCTAGGTGGATCACGACGACATGCGTATTAGATTACGATACTGTCGCCACCGCCGACAAATTCGGAAACATAGCTGTGGTAAGTTCACGTCTCACAGAATACAAACATAACTTTATCAATATTATAATTTCTCACTTAACAACAAATATAACGCATCAAAATTGTACAGAGCCATAATTGTAAATAGAATCATAAATCAAGGAAGAATCAGAGAATTTTGCAAACTTTTCTGGAAAATTAAAAGTCTTGTCTTTAATACAGTTACATTATTGAATAGAAAGTTATAACATTGTGTAATGTTATTGTTAGTTTGTATTCTGCAAAATATTTTATCTTTTTCGCAGTACGTTTGTGTATCAATTTGACTTGTTACATTTCCGTCTTTTTTTTTATTTCTTTTCAGATACGATTGGCGACTGGTATTAATGATGACGTGGATGAAGATCCTACCGGAAACAAGGCTCTATGGGATAGAGGATTGTTGAATGGCGCCAGTCAAAAAGCGGACACAGTGGCGTGTTTCCACGTCGGCGAGACAGTGATGTCGTTACAGAAGGCAACTCTCATACCCGGTGGTTCTGAGAGTCTGGTTTACACGACCCTAAGTGGAACAGTAGGCGTGCTCGTGCCATTCACAAGCCACGAGGATCACGATTTCTTCCAGCATCTGGAAATGCACATGCGATCAGAGCACCCTCCTCTGTGTGGCAGGGATCATCTGTCCTTCCGATCGTACTATTACCCTGTAAAAAATGTCATCGACGGTGATCTTTGCGAGCAATTCAACTCAATCGAGCCTACTAAACAGAAAAGCATCTCTGGCGATCTCGAGAGAACGCCATCCGAGGTGTCAAAGAAACTAGAGGACATACGTACGCGTTATGCTTTCTAAACTTTTCAAGAACTATGTCTTTCGACGTACTGTTTTTTCATAGAACTTGTGTTTCTGATATATAGATCTTGGAACATTATGGATTCTATTTTAGTCGTTCTTTTTGCATAATATTGAATTAATATGATGCATCTTTTTTTCATTGATCATGCAAATTAAATTCTGTTACGTATGTCGTCGCATTCAAAACTGTAAAAATTCAATATTTTCTACATAAGTGATAGCTTTATTATATAGACGTAAACATAATTTTTAGAATATATATGTTAGCATCAAGATGTAATGTATATTCAATTTCTTTTAAGCAAACTGTCAGTAATGGAAAAAAAAGTAACAGTATTTTAATAGCTTTAGGGCGACTCATGTAAACTTTTTGTATTTCCATAACAATTAGCGCATCGCTATAAAAATTACGAGACATTAATTCGTAAGTGTGAAAATCAGATTTGGCTTTCCATTATGAATAGACTTTAATCATATTTGTGTATCACACGACTGTAGATAAATGTAATGACGTCATTTCATCACTATGTAAACCGTATAGAAATTAACACATTACCATGTTTAAATTGCATCAGCGAAGCAATCAAGTTGCATCAATGAAGCAATTAATTTCCGCTTATTGTGGTCTTGCAAATTTGCACATTAAATCATTCTTCGAATCTAATCAATTCATCGTCTAATATTGATTTGTACATCCGCCCATCATTGAATATATTTATTAAAAGGGAATGTTTTATTTTTTTTTCTCACAATACCTCTCGCGCGCAAAGTATATATATATTTTTAATTTATAAGTACATCTTTTCATAAAAGAGATGTTATAGTGCGTTTTTTACAAAAAGAACGAAATCTAGAAATAAACTTCTTTTTAAATTAAACTTCTTTTAAATTAAATTCGACGTTATCGAAAGATTTAGAGATATTGGAAAATATAGACTTTTCTGATTATACAAGAGATGAGTGTATATAAATAATATTTTTTCTTTAATTTTTAGATTATGTATATTTTAAAAAATTCATTTCCGAAATAGAATTACGAAGTCGCCTTTTCAGTCGAAATTTTTTTAACTGTGTCCACATATTTTTCCCAATAATCTACTCTACTTTTAATCTACTATCTCGGTTTAATTTACTCGTTATTTTTTTTCTGATTCTTAACTAGAAAAAGATAAAAAGTTAAACCAAAATTAAAGTTAATCTATGTTAGTAAATCAAGAAATGGACAAATGAATCAATCTCCGAGGCATATACATATAAAGATCGAATCCGAGATCTGTTAATTATGAATCTACCGTTTCAGTCCATGTCACATTACGCATTGAAGATTGAGGATTAGAATACAGCCAATAAGAACGAAACAGATTAAAACTAAAATTATCTAACTCAAATTCTAATATCTAATTCGAATAATGTAACACGTAGCTTTACACAACTACACACGCATCATCCTTTTTAGAATAAATCTCTTTAATTTTGATAATGGATCTTCGATCACCAGAAATTGCAGTACTATTACTTTATAGTCTGTAGCTTCTGAAAAGTCTTGACCTTTTCCTCTTTATTCAGTTTGCTAAAAGTTTGTTATAGCAATTTTGCGAGAAGGTAATATAAACCGCATCTTCAATCTTCAACCCGTAGGAATTGAGCTTGCTGGTTTTCTTTATGCTTTTTGATTCTTGGAGTGAATTTGTCAATCTTTCAAAAGGCATTTTGGATATTTAAATATAGAATGTAAAAGCAATCCACAAACAAGAGGAAGAATTGACAGATTTCGAGCTATTTTAAAAATTCATTCAATGTTGGCGACGATTAAATCACAGAATATTATCACATCGAATTGTATTATTCGATTAAATGAAATTACATTTTCGCAAAGGAATACTTCGATTTGCGGTGTCCATAAATAGATATCGCTATTTAAGGATATCCCGACACTTGAATTAGAATAGTGGAACGATGAATCTATCTGCGTTATGCCGATGGCATAACTAGGTGAGCCCGTATCTTAATGTTCTCGACGATGCATTCATCACTCAATAGCATCTCCCTCCTTTCTCTCTTTCAATACATGCATATAACTATACATACAAATACACTGAGAAAAAAATCGAAATATTCGCAAATAAATATTAAACTGAGGTTTTCTTCAATGTTTATTTTAAATTTAAATTTATTTAAAAAATTTGGCGACAAAATGTATATTTCTATAAAATATATATGTCATTAATTATAAAAATATAAAATAGATAAATGGTTTTGTTAAAATTTTTATTTGCTAGGAATAAAATTTTATTTCACTGTGTTTAAGTATTTCAGTGAAATAAACATCTCAAAAATAAATTTTTTTATTTTTTTTCTCACTGTGGCATTCAATGAATAATAGAGAAGAACAATACGTTTGTCGACTGTGTCTAAAAGAAAAGCAGTATTTCTTATTTAAAGAAATATGTATTAAAGTTAAATCAATTTTTTGCAGTTGTATGTGCGTTGTATATTGCAATTAAAAAAACAGATTTTTAGTCAAACTTCGCTCTCTCGATAGTTGCCGTCTTTTTTTTAAATAAGTTACAAATGAAGTAGCGTTACGAACTTTTGTTCCGCGACCGAATGTAATGTATATATTCTTGCGAAAGAAACTTTCATCCCTCGGGATTTTGTAATTTCTCATAATTTCATACTTTCTTTCTCGCAGAAGTGGATTATCTCGCATGCCTCAGCACGGCGAAAATGACGAGATACCTCTCATCCAATTATAGACGTGAACGCGCGACTGTTTACCACACGCTCGCGCATTCACGTCGCTATCGGATTTACCCCGTGACCGCGTTTCGCGGGGATTAGATATTCTTAATTGGCGCGGCAGCGTACATCGCGCGGACGATGAACCGTTTGTAATAAGCGGAGATAATGAGCACTCGGCGCGCCTCAGATCGATAACCGCTCGAAAGAAGAAAGGGAACGGCGACCATCGTTAATGCTGATAACACGATAAGAAAGTTATCACCGATCTCTTTGTATACACTCTCCAGAAGATAATAGCAGATACAGGACAGAAAGATGGAAAGAGGAAAAAAGGGAAAGAGAGAGAGAGAGGGAGAGAGAGAGAGAGAGAGAGAGAGAGAGAGAGAGAGAGATGGAAAAGGGTGTGCACCCCGTTCGATAGCCATCGTTGAAGAGGCTGTGCGATGCACGCCCCGGTGACTGCACATGTATATATATATATTAGGAGCAGCGAAACGTTGTCGAGTAACGACGACGACGACGTCCTCGACACGCTTCGCCTCGGCGATACGAGTACGATCTTCTCCGTGACTCGAATCTGAGAAGCTCGAGAATATCGGAGAGACTTGAAAGTTGATTGTATATTTTGAGAGATAAGATAGAAATTATAAAAGTAAGCATATTTGCTAGGTGCTTACCAATAAAATTATAAATATTTTAATTAATTTGTTCACATTTCACATTTTCATCTCGTTTTACGATACACAATCGATTTCTTGGAGAGTCGGGGGAAGAGAGCGGCATCCTGTAACATAGTAGGTCTGTTTTTTTTAGCTGAAACTTTTGAATTTGTTCATCTTTCTTCTTCTTTCCTCCTGGAATAAAAAAAAGAAAGATGAACTGCAAAAGTTCAGCTAAAAAGAATAAGCCTATTGACTACAGGATGTTCCATCTAACTCAATCTCTCTCTTATCCAAAATTATCTGCCTTCTCTATAGGCCTGTTCTTTTTAATTGAACTTTTGCAACAGTTCATATTTCTTCCATTTTTTCTTTAGGAAGAAAAAAGAAGAAGAAAGATGAACTGCAAAATGTGCAAAAGTTCAGCCAAAAAGAACAGGCCTTATATTTCTCGCGGAGAAATTTATGAGAAAGAAATTATACTGATACTCTCCAGCAATTAAGAGAATCATCTTTGTTTAGTATTGACAAGTTTCATCTTTGTTTAATATTGACAAACATCAAGAATGTAATGATTCACTATAGGAATCTTATAACGGAGTCTGACCACGAACAATTTTGTTAAAATTCTGCGAGAGAGGAAGATGTATATATTATACTTCTTCTCTGTATACATATATACTATACCTCACTTAAACTTATATCTGTCTCATTCTATAACTTTAATTAAGATTATAGAGTGAGATAACATAAGTTAGAGTGATATAATATATATATATATA